AGTTAATAGTAATAATTTAGCAATAATATTTATAGTATTTCCAAGTAATGAAAGAATTATGTTAGCAAAAGAATTAACAAGAAAATTTTTAGGAACTTCTGTAATTTATGCTCCAATCACATGGAATAAATTAGTTAATCAATTTATGCATATGAAATAAACTAATGCTTGAATATATCTTACAATCCTAACTTGTATTATAATAATAAACTAGAAATTGTATATACGAGTGATTTCACTACTCAATTTTAACTGATAATTTGATTTATTATATGGGTATGTGTGTGTAAGTTAGTTACACACATACCAATATAATAACTATAAAATATATATGTATACGTAATAATGCTTAAATTACTAAAGTCCAGATGACACCAGAATTCTAGTATATACAACAAAACACCATAGCGACAACAAAATAAGCAGCTAATAACTTGCCAATAAATGATCTAGCAGAAGCAATGCTAGGCGTAAACTCACCAGAAATTGCACATGCTGCATTCAGACATTGGCAAATGTTAAGGAATTGGAATGGGAAAAGCGAAGTCAGACTATATAGCTAATAGTAAAGGAAGCCTTGCCAAAGTCGCACCCCACTATTATGCTATATCTATCTATCTTAACTGCCTCAGATACCACAGACGATGAGCTATATAAGATGGAATCAAACATGCAATGATCCATTAATTAGGCAATGTCTGAGAATTATACTGTAGACAGCAATTACACGTTTAAACTAATTCAAAAAAAAAAACATCATGCGAAACCAACGCGGCAGTTGAAACAAACCTGAGCATGAACAATCCCAACATGCTATTCAGACTAGAGCACTCACGGCATTCTTTAGGAAGCAGTTACTTAAATTACAGCAGAACACGTCTTTAAACTCAAGAAGACGGGCACAACTTGACTATAAAAAAAAAAAACAAAAAACAGTTGCACGCCCAATATAGATAATTAACCCGACAAAGATGACCTACTGAAAATCAATGTTAAAACACTTGTGAAATTGAATATCTCAAAGAATTTAATTGGAAGTGCGATTGGAGGTAGTGTAGGAGGATTCAATGCCCACGCTGCCAATATTGTTACAGCAATATATATTGCGACAGGACAAGATCCAGCACAAAATGTTGAAAGTTCAAATTGTATAACGATAATGGAAGCTATCGACGATCCAGTGACAAATGCCAAAGACTTACACATTACATGTACAATGCCATCAATTGAAGTAGGAACAGTAGGAGGAGTAATATCATTAGGACCACAGAGTGCCATGCTAGAAATGTTGAGTGTGAAAGGAACTCATCCAACAACACTAGGAGAAAATTAACGAGAATTATATGTGCAAGTGTCTTGCTGGTGAACTAAGTTTATGCTCTGCATTAGCTGCTGGGCATTTAGTTAAAAGCCACATGATTCACAACAGAGTTAATAATGTTGGACATGAAAAACTTTAGATGTACAGTATCCTCCAAAAGTTTATCACGGTTACACAAAATTGTGATAATATCTGGAAGATAATGTTCAGCAACAAAGACCACAACCAAGAACTTATAGAGCGTTGAAAATAGCACTTTTAGAGGAATGAATACGTTTGCTTGATCATCAATTTTCGTGAACTTAATAAATAATATGCCAAATCGTATGCCGAAGTTATTGCATATTATTAATTTGCGTAATAATAATATATTGCTAAATTACAAAATTTTATGTTAAGTTTTTGTGTAACAGTGATAAACTTTTGGAGGATACTGTACATATATCACAGTCAAGTTCAAATTCATATGTCATGTCAAATACAACTATAATATCCCCTGTTATTAATGGTATTAACAATTCTAGAGTAGAAATGTGCCTGATTCTAAAATATCTATTTCAGGATCTTGTTTAAATTCATAGATTTAAACGTATTTTTAGCATATGAAATAATATTGTTATATTTTTTTCGCTTTTAATAAAAAATTAAAATTTTACAATTTGCAATATTTAAACGGATTATAATATTAATAATTTAGTGAGTATTACCACACGACGTAACTGCTTTTAGATCTTGTTTGTTGTTTTAAGTTTGGAGTAATTTAACCTCCAGCCTCTTAACATGTTAAAATATCTATATGTCGTGGAAGCTTCGGTTTATAGCTAATTCACACAGTAAAATTAGGGGTAGTTTGGTGGTGACATATAATGAGGAGTATAGGAAAAATTGCCTTCCCGGTATTTTGAATTAGTGCCCCAAGACAGTTTTAGACTGCCGTTTTTCGTCTTTTTGCGTTATTTTTCCCGATCACGTGATAATCGATAAAATTCCTAAAGTTGGATAAAATTACACAAGGAATTTTTTTGTTAATGCATGACCGCGTGATGTTACACCAATTCAAAAGATTATTTATTTGCTAATTTTCGTTGATCATCACGTAATCGAAAATTTATTGGAATTTTGTTGGCGATTCTGGGGTAGAAGCATTTACTAATTTCTCCCCACAGTTGTGATATTGGCCAATCAGGATGCAAGATCAGGTGTAACGTGACGATCAAAACAACAATCGCTTTTTTTTTGAAAAGTCACACTTATCGCAAAACTTCCCTAAGAAATCACCTTTTATGCACTAACAATAAAAATTCCTTGCAAAATTTTAGTATAATGTCACCTACTAACACTAACCCCAAACCCTAACTGCGGTGTCACATTTTATTTATAAGGTGACATGTAAATTTGCACGAATAATCCCAGCCAATCACAACTGTGGGGGGAAATTAGTAAATGCGGGGTAGAATTCGATTTTATTACTTTAATAAACTTTTCTAAATTATCTGCTTTAATAAACTTTCATAAATTATTTGTCTTTAAACTTTCCTAAATTATTTGTCTTTAAACTTTCCTAAATTATTGGTTTTAATAAACTTTTCTAAATTATCGACTTTAATAACAGATAATGCAGTTGTTGGCCGAGTAACAGCAATAACGGAATAATTTTTAATAATTAATAATTAATGCAGATCAAAATACAAGATTATTATTTCTTGTCCAACAGATTGCACATCTTCTCTACATAAAGAAATTAAAATAAATGTATGTTCCTGATCTGCATGCATGTTCTATACGTACAGTACATTAAAATAAGTGTTATTAATTTCTATGCAAAGAGCATGAAGGTCGAATTAGTAATAAAAAAAAATACGATTTCTATTTAATGTATTACATGTATGTAAATAAAAACAATTTAAGGCATAACAATACAAAGGGTTTGTATCGTTATTGTTAATTCTTAAATTAATGCCGCAAATCCACGTGCTACTTGTTTATGCATTATATTTATATAAAGTGATTGAATTCTAGTACCATAAATTGCTTAAATTGCTTAAACTATATACCTTGTGAAATTTTCAATATCATTCCGTTCCTGGCAATATCCAATCGATCTCCTAAGATACACGTGTACATAATTCAAATAGAAAATGATAATTCAAAATATTATTGAATCCATTAACACCACTGACTTTTTAGCTTTATTCATCTCAATAATCATTATCCATGTTTTTAACTTTTATTATAAATATTTAACTCGTTACAATCCACTTCCTAGTCCCCCGCCTTTACCATTCATTGGAAACCTTCATAATCTCAGTTTTGATGTACTACTATTCTTTAAACAATGTCAAAAGAAATATGGAGATATCAATGAAGCAATGTTTGATCGTAGATATATCATTCTCTCGCGTCCAGAATATATCGAAAAACTTTTTGATCGTAAGTCATTTTTCATGAAACTTCCATATTCTCAAGGTGTTGATGAACTGGGAGTGTCCGGACGTGGAATTGCCTTCAATGATAATTATGAAAGTTGGAAATACAATAGTAAATTCTTTACTGATACATTTGTGGCACATAAATTTATGGATAATGCCGTGAAATCCACAAATAAATTGTATGCTGAATTGAGCAGTTATTGGCAATCACTTGGAAATCAAAATACTTCAAATAATAGTAATGATAATTGGACGCTAGAAACAGATTTCTCTGCCTGGTTTCACGGATTTGCAAATGATATTGCTTCAATAATAATCACTGGAGAACGCACATATTCAATTGCATCCTATTACAACAAACAAAGTCTTATCAAATCTGAATGTCCTAATGCGCTAGTCGAGGATGGAAACAAATTCGTCAAATCAATCGTACAATATCTTGAAGGTTTCATGTTTTTTGCATTTATTAGTCCATTCTTAAGGCATTACGTTCCAATAATCAAAAATCAATCTAATGTTTATTTAAAAAATCGTGATTACTTATTTGAAAAATTGGATAACATGATTAAAAAGAGAAGAAAAGAGGTCGAAGAAATGTCTGTAGATTTAGAAATGAGAACAGACATGCTTACTTCTTTAATTACTGCAAACACGAATATGAAAGCCTCAAATGACGAGGTGTTAGAACCAATGACTGATGAAGAGGTCAGAGTTAATTTGTTAGATGCTTTCTTGGGAGGAACCGATACTGTGAGTATTACTTTATAATTAATCTGTATTTTTGCTTGTTATTTATTCGCTTATTTCTGTATTTATTAACTTTGATTTACCAACTTTAGACCTCAAATTTATATTGTTTCATAACCTATTATATTTGTAAACATCTACATGTAAAACGAAAAATGCTTTCAGAAATTGATTACAATTTACCTAAATTTTCTGATAAATTTTATATATCATACACTGATCTCCAAAAACTAAAATATTGAGAAGCAATAATTAAAGAAGTTTATCGTATAGTACCAGTTCTTCCTTTTTCAATCCGCACTATTACTAAAGAAATTGAAATTGCAGGATACAAATGGCCTTCTGGGACACATTTTCTTTTGAATTTTTTAGCAGTACATGGTCACTCTGAATTTTGGCCTGATCCAGAAGTTTTCAATCCGGATAGGTTTTATAGTGATGATCGAGATTATAATAGGTTTGGCAACAAACCACCTCTTATGATGTTTGGTGGAGGCATGCGAATATGTCCTGGAAGAAAGTTGGCAATGGCTGAGTTACTTGTATTAATGGCATTAGTATATAAGAACTACAACGTTGAGTTGGTGAATACACATGAACCTTTAAATATTATTTCTCTTATTACTACAAATTGTAAAGAGCTTAAAGTTAGAATTAGTCCACGAACCTGATTTTATTAAATGTTTATTTATTAACAAAGTTCAACATATATTTAAGGATTTATTAATTTATTATTTATTAACAAGGCTCAACATATGTTTAGGAAGTTTATATATATATAAATATTATCTTTTAAAGTAATTGACAAGCCAGAAGAGTATTTTACACTTTCTAAGAACAATTATTTTAAAACTATATCATTTTTTACCGTTTAGTTTATTAAACGTACATTGAATTAATATGTTCATGTAAATTTTTAAAGTTTAACGGTCTCGTAAAAATTGAGTCATAGGATAGTATAAAATATGGATTGTTATATTACATATGGGCGAAAATCTCCAGTTGAAACACAGTGATTATTAAAAATTAGCTGATATTATAATCATGTACAATTTATAAGTAATTAGGTTACAATCAGGTAAATACGTACAAAACTTCATAAGCCATTCATTATCGGGCTTACAACCTCTGATCAAAAAATCACATTAGGGTAGCTGCGCAACGCAGTTGCGCTAAAACCAGGAACATAGTATGATTATATTTGTATATTTTATGCTATGTTTTTAGTAAAGGTTTTTTTTTTTTAGAATTTACTTTATGCTTTGTTTTTGGTAAGGTTTTTTTTTTAGAATTTAAAGTTACAATGTAAGTAATATATAAGTTAGTAAGTTAAATCTAAAAGTAAATTTAAATTTCAATTAAAATTAAAATAGACGAATTATTATTATATATCGTTAATTATTATTACTAATGTTTATAATCAGTGTTATGTATTCATAGTAGTTACGTGATTACTATCAATATAAATCGGTCTACAGATTTTCCTGATGTTATCTAATTTTGGATACCTAAATATTTACAAAAGATATAAACTTTTATACGACAAAATGGATCTTTCGTAGTTATTTGAATGAAAAATATAATAATTAGCAATTAAATACAGTTTATTATTACAAAATTATGAATTCTTGGCGAGAGTAAAAGAACAATTTGATCGGAATAGTTACACATTTAACATGTAATTCATGCAAGTTGCAAAATTTTCAAACAAGACATATAGCTTATCTATTATCATAATGCGGATCATCATTATAATATGGTAATATTAACTTTACACAAAAGCGTGGCTGTGTTACATTTGGAAATATCTGCTTAAATATTTATTTACAATCATTT